GGGGGGGGGGGGCTTACATGCCCCGACACCTGCTTTCCAAAACTGGACAGTGTTTTTCTTCTTCCAGCCAGTGAGAGCCAGGCCCTAGCTTGAAGCCGCCACCTCCCTCTCATCACGAAAGATAAAAAGTGAGCGCTTCATTTAGGCTAAACGAGCATCTCACTTATCACATCCTGTGGCTGTTGAGCTCTTCCTGTGGTCAGCATTATCACTTCCTGTGGGCAAGATGGAGACTTGCGGTCCAGAGGGAGGACGCTCAACCCGACCAGGCCAGCGTTTATATCCTCCAGCCATGTTTTATTGCCTCACCGGGGACATTTTAGGCACATCGAGCCTTAGTCTGCAGATAACCGCACGCTGCCCCTGCATGTTGACCTCAAGAGAGCAACACGTCGTCTTCCCCGCCGTCCACTTGATAAATTACTCGAGAAGCCACATGTGATACTGTTGGGCTACAACCACTATGCACACACAAACATTGAGGCAACACAGTAAAGCCCAAGGAAATTACACAAGCTCCATTTTGTTTGGTTTTGCACACACATATATAAATATGGCACGACACTGCACGCAAAAAAAGTGCCACAGTCCTTCCAACGCCACAGCAGGCATTGTGGCCTAAATGCACACGGCTCAACAAACCCCATCAAACTTTTAGGGAGACTAACACAAGCTCTATGAGTTAGATACAGCTACACACACGCACTCAGCCTGGGTGCACTAATCACAGGAAACTCTCCGCCCTTATAAACCAATCAGGACTAATTCAGTTTCGCAAACGCTGGTCAGCTACAAAGGGCAGAGAGTGGCCAAACTTTCCAGCTCTAAATGAGTACCTTGTCCCACTCTTCGGCGTCCATCGTATATGTGTACCGTATGGCATGTGGGGACTAAAAACACAACATGTTATAGAAACTGACAGACATGTTTACTTTGCAAATGTACACTTGCACAACCCAAAGAGATCCAAGACAAAAGCTGCAATTTTGACTGACACTGTGGCGCCGGCCTTCATTTTGTATTATATTTTGTAGTGTTGTGCAATTGTCGTACTGTGTTAGAAACGGCTCAGTTTGATGCAATGCAGTTTGACGACACTGACAAAGTAAAACCACAAGAGGAAACGCATTGGTGAACAAATAATTCTGACAGTGTCATTCAAAATTGAGCATTTTTTTGGTATCCACAAAGGGGAGGTCATTTTGTTGGCCAGTATATGTGTGTCAGTTGGATTAAGTCAACAGCAGCCATTTACTGTTTACGAATATGGCTTTCTTTAAATTGATCATTCATTATCGTCATGACCTGGCAGAAATCACGTGGTTCTACTGTCTTCATTTGTCAAGAAAAAAAAAGAAATCATGAATCCTCGTGTCAATATTAAATAATCCTGCAAGAAGTGGAGATCTATGAAGATAGACAATTCTTTGCTTCTTCAAAGTGACTGTTCAGCCCAGGTGGAGGTCTGCTCTAATTCACTCACATTATTGCTATTTTAATAAAGGTAGAATTCATGATCCAGCTCGCCATTTAGAATCTTATCAGTGCCTATTTACACATCACGCATGAGAAGCAAACCTTGCAAGGTTTGCTTGATGTATCCATTACCTCAGCAGTATTGATTTAAGGACTAACACAGCATCATGTTGTGCACTAATCATGATGAAATGTTACCCCATGACAACATGGAGAAAAATAACATGTGCACGAAGCTGCAATTGGCAGCAAGTCCCACATATTGCCCCAAAACGCATTGTTTGGAAGGCAGAAATCCCCCATGGCGTCGGTTTGATTCGAAACGCCTCTCGGATGTCAGGGAAGGAGGCGAGAACAACTGCATCGCCCCTCCCCCATCAGCTCTGGCCACCATCGCTCATCTGCAGTCCTGAGCAAGCAGAGAGGAGAGGAACGCCAGGGGGAGGGGGAGAGGAGGCTGCGGCAGCCATTTTAGAAAACAGGGATCCATCACTGAGGAGTGTGTGAGGGGGAAAAAACAAAACCTACCTCACATTTGGGTTTTTTAAATCATGTAACCACAATGTAATAGGCACTTATGAGCTATTTCTCATTTTTCTTCACCCGTCATCATCAACATCATCATCATTCTGTGTGTGTGAGTAAGAGGTGGTCATGTTTACTCACCCGCTGGGTCCTGGTCTTGCTCCCTGGTTAAAACGCCAGTCATTGTTGGGAGGCTTTTGCTGCAAAGAGAAGAAAGGTCGCAACATGAGCAGCACATCCAAGGTCAACACATTTGATGAGGAGGTTTCTCACTGGATTTCATGTGATGTTGTTTTTGTGGCTGACACATCTGTGCGTGCGCAAGCGTGTGCATGTGGGTGGTTGCAGTCTTGCAGCAAGACCAAATGAACCTCTGCACGCATGTTGTTCCAACAGTTGTGGATCAGAAAATGCAAAATGAGCAGCATAAATAGATGCAGGAACTGGAGCGCCACATACTACTCAGACACAAAATGGAAAATCAGAATGGGAGAAGCAAACCTAAAACGTCTGCTTGATGAGGAAGAGACAAGGAACAAACAGGCATCAAATGGAAAAGTTGACTATGCGCCTGTTTTTTTTTCTCTCCCATGTCTCTTAACATTCATGTGACTTCCTAATTACATCTTTCTAGATTAAACAAGGTGGAAATTGTGCAAAAATTTGAAGACTGCGGAAGAAGATTAGAGAGAGGCTATAAATGATCTGGTGCAAAACTTCTCTCATGGGGCACAAAAATGCAGTTTCAAGAGGTCATGCAGCTGAAGGATCGTTTCAATACCTGTTCATCATTTCATCTTTCAAGACAGTTGCGATAGGCTCCAGCCTCCTGTGACAATGAAACAGGGGGACAGGAAATGGATGGATGGCCCGTTTTCCCACTTTCCGTACAAAATCTTACTAAATCCTCATGAGAACGCACTACGGGGCAACTAGTCCTGACTGTTCACATCTTTTCTACTTCTTCCCAGCTTCTCTTGTTGTGCACTGATGCAGTGAATGGAGGCTGGCAGAGCTCCATTCGTGCTGCCTATTCGATACGAGAGCTCCTCGGAGCGAGTGGCGGCAAAGATGATGCGGTGCATTATTAAAAGAGTTGTTTGACCGCCAGGGGAAGGATGGAAAGCTGAAAGATGCTCAGAAGAATGTTATTTTCATGATAATAATGCGCACTTTCCTCCCACATCACTCAATAAAAAAATAAAAAAATAAAAAAAAAACTACGCAAAGACAAAGGTAAATATCAGCATCCATTCCAAAATGAAACCACAGCGGTTGTGAATGAGAAGAGGATGGTCGATCTCAATCCTCCTCCACAGCTTGGCCAATGGTTGCATTCTAAAAACGGACGCCTCCGATGAGTGCGGGCATGTGTGTTCCATCTGACACAAAGCGATTGAGCCACGAGTGAAGGCGAATATCCAGAAAGAGGCCCAGCATTCCATCTGTGTGGCTCCGGCACACAAACAACATCGAGGTCAGGGACAAAGACTATCAAACAAACGCTGCTTGGATAAAAGGCTTCAACATCCTGTCGGTGCGATACTTGGCGCTGTATAGACTCCAGGGGCCAGGTCGGAGTGCATCTCATCCCACCAGAGTGTGGATTTGACCTTTCATACCATCTTAAGGCACTTTTAGTCGGCATCTGTCACATATTTGAGCTAGACAAACGAATTATGACCTGCCTCGGTTGTCTCACTGGTGCATGAGAGCATCTGGCGAACATCTGTCATGCTGAAATAAAACATAAAAAGTACTGATGTAATTGTGTATCATATGAAGTATGATTCAACTAGTAGAAATAGATTTTTTGGGGCAGACAAAATATGCTTCCACCCATCTGGTGTATTGTGCATGTGTGTGTGTGTGTGTGGGGGGGGGGACACTCTGGGAGGGAGAGTTGATAAACTGTATGATGTTTAAAATAGTTTGGCTGGACTGCACCTGGTGCTCTAACTGAAAGGAGGAAGTCATTTTTTTGTTCTGCTGCTCTCTCAGGCACATACACACACAACCCTATCTGTTGTTATAAAAGCAAGCACTAGGATGTCGAATTCCCCATCTATCCCATCTCCGTTCAATTGCTACTGATAGGAAGAACACATCCACTAGGAAACGTGACGTGTGTTTGCTCTGAATAAACAAACACGAGCAGGTAACTGACAAAACCCTGAGGACATTTTCCCAGAACTGCATGAGCCAGTTCGGTGCATGTGATGCTTGAAAATGTCCATACGAGTCTGCTGTACAGTATTTGCATAACAACCTGACCAGCCTGCACGTAAACACACCTGGAAGAGCTAACACAACACCTTGGTATTGATTACTTTAAAGCTGCCGAAATGGGAATGGATGCTTTCAGTGGTGAGCTGATGGAAAGGAAGGACACACGCTCTATTTTTAAACATCGCCAAGGGCATGTAAAACCAAGTGTTCCGGAGCAGCACATTACAAAAGAACTGACATGGTAGCGAGGGAGCATGAGTCACTGGAGCTCACGGCCCATTTCTAAAATTACCCGCTATATCGTGAGGTTCTTTATGTGTCCAACTTAATGCTCACAACCACAAGCAAGGGCGCTAACATGATGGCCGCCGTTCCACAAGCATGAAAGCAAGCGCCGTTTGCCGCCATGTGCGTAAAGCCACCCGGCCCTTTCTCTTCTCTTCCTCACTAGTTCTCTTGTCCTCATTGAAAGCACGTGTCACGTGGAACACTGCGGCAGATGGCAATGTGCTGACCTCAGGGGCGAAGCTAATTCAGTACGGAGGAAGTATGTTAAAAAGCTTGGTGAGAAACGACATGATGGAGAAAGCATTTGACAGAAAGCGCAACCTGTTTTGTGCTGTACATGATGGCTTTGGGTTAATTCACCCCTCCTGAAAAACGATTCATACATTACACTCTTCAAAGAGGCACCATTTTGACCAAGGAAGTAAGAGCAGAGTGCTGCGACTATTCATCAGTGGACAACAGGAAGTCAGGGGTCATACAAGTGACCCCGTGATTTCCTGTTCTGAACCATAGTGAGGGTTTTTTTCTTGCATTCCTTTGAGTATTTTCTTTCCTTAGCCCACCTGCCTCTTTCTCTGCTGTCGTCTTCCTCTCAGCCATTAAATCAACATGACGGGAACTTTTTTGGTTTGTTTTTTTTTTCCTTTTTTTTTTAAATCTGCTGTTTCTTCCTATTCATCTACTGGAAACACGGGGGCAACTACGCCTGAAGACTAAGAAACATTCACTTGAAAATATGGTATGATTCAATTAAAGAGCTGTATCCAAAATTCTGCCTTTAAAAAGATAATAATGTAATTTTTAAAAACTGTTCCGATTGAACTATATCAGTAGTGAAACAGCAGAATTGCCAAGTCATTGGCATTTTTTTTAACTGATTCAGTAACAGGTTAAAAATGATTTGGGCAATTATGCAGATTTATCTAATTAGGTTAACTGTCAGTGGTTGTAGTTTGCAGCGGGAGATGATTGACGCCCATCCAAAAAGCTTTATCATTTCCTATATATGCTACATAGTGGCGTCAAAGAACTTTTTTCAACCTGACAAAGTTATGACCTGGCAAACGGAAGCTCCTTCCAACTCGTCAACATCGTTCCTTGGCTCAACGATGCCACTAAATCGATCACGTAGACTTGGCATTTGAGCACAAAAACAGTGAATAGGTACATTTTTTCGTAAATAACGGAGAATTGGTTGTCCAAAATGAGCAATTTTGTGGGGCTCCACTATAAAAATCTCACTGCTATGGCAACCAAACTACTAAATAAACAAATGAGCATTGGAATGGCGGAATTCGTGGTACAGGAGTGGCTAAGTTTGTGGCCAGGGAGAATGATTCTCTGAGACACTTTGTGGAACCCCCCCCCAAACCCACATTAAAATCCTCACCTCACCGGCCGAGTTCATAAGGTGCTTTCTGCTGAGAGTGGTGTTAAGCGTGTTGTTGTGACTCAGCATGGGCGTCTTCATGAACACAAAGTCACTCCTGCTGGATATGGTGGAGTAGCAGGGCCTATAAGTGCGCGTGTGTGGATCCTGGGGGCCTCCCACCACCTCCATGTAACGGATGGGCCCGTCCGTGTTGAGCTGCAGGTGCAGGTCCTTGCTGGGCCTTTGGTGGTAGCGCCCAGACCGATGATTACCGTAGCAGCAGTAGCAGCAGTCGGAGTCGCCCATTCCGTGCCCGCGGTGCCTCAGGCAACGCACCATGAGGACGGCGAAAGTGATAAAAGACACAGCTGATACACAGGCGAGAGAGATAATGAGGTACAAGGTGATGTCCGACATCCCGCCGCGCGGGGAGAATGGTGTGTGGTGAGGTCTCGCCGGAGCGTCATCCGCGACTCCCTTCTCCTCCACCGTGACCGTAATGTTCACCCAGCTGGACTTTGGCGGCTCACCATTGTCTTGGATGATGACCACAATGTCATAAGTGGAGCCTTCTTCCTCCTCGGCCCACTTGCGGGCTGTGCGGAGGTCGCCAGAGTGCGCCCCGATACGAAACATGCCAGCATGAAGCCCGGGGGCGATGGAGTAAAACAACCAGGCATTGTGCCCGCTGTCGGCATCCACCCCCACAAGTTTGTTTATGAGATACCCCGGTCCAGCAGACGGTGGCACACTGAGCTGCAGTCCTTTGTCTTGTGGAAACGCAGGGTGGACAATCATGGGTGCGTTGTCGTTCACATCCACCACAAACACATGGACAGTGACGTTGGCGGTCCTGGAGGGCGTCCCGGCGTCCCGGGCCTGGACCTCAATACGGAAGGCCTTAAGCTGCTCGTGATCCAAGGAACGCATGCTGAAGATCTGGCCGCTCTCTGGATTAATGTAGACATAGGAGGAGATGGGTGAGCCCTGGACCATGCTGGGAAGAATGGAGTAGGTGATGCGGGCATTGTCCCCCAGGTCCGGGTCAGTTGCCGAGACAACGGTGATGGGAGCGCTCGGAGCGTTATTCTCAGGGATGTCCACCGAGTAGGAGTTTTGGGAGAAGGTAGGGGAGTTGTCGTTGACGTCAGACAGCTTCACCACAAAGGTGGTTTGAGACGACATGGGAGGCGAGCCGCCATCGGTGGCCTTGATGACCACTTTGTACTCAGACTCGATCTCACGGTCGAGGGACCCGGATGTGGTGAGGCTGTAGTGCATGCCAAAGGCTGAGTTGAGTTTGAATGGCAGACCTTGCGGAATTGTTAAACTAACCTCCCCATTCTTGCCCGAGTCCAGATCCCGAGCACTGATGAGGGCTATCACCGTCTCAGGGGCGGAGTCTTCTTGGATGGGGCTTGTGAGTGACGTCAGCGTGACCTCTGGCACGTTGTCATTGACGTCGATGACGTCGACGATGACGTTGCAGGAGCCCTCCATCGCTGGGGAGCCACCATCTCGGGCCTGCACCGTGATGTGATAGGATGGAGCTTTCTCGTAATCCACTTCGCCGTTCACGCGAATCTCCCCGCTCTTCGTATCCACGGTGAAGAGTTTAACGACACGCTCGGGCGTGTATTTACTAAACATGAATGATATTTCTCCATTGCGACCTGAATCCGCGTCCGTGGCGTTCAGTTTCGTCACTAAAGTGCCCAGTGCGACATTCTCTAACAGGCTCACTTTTTTGACAGACTCCTCAAAAATAGGTGCGTTGTCATTTACGTCCAAAACTTTAATGAGAAGCAGCGTCGAGCCAGATTTTTGCGGCTGCCCCCCGTCCACAGCCGTGAGCAGCAGCTCGAAGGAAGCCTGCGCCTCCCTATCAAGAAGTTTGTCCACCACAAGCTCTGGAAACTTGCTGCCGTCACTTTTAGTCTCCACATTCAATATAAAAAAGTCATTTTCTGCAAGATGGTACGTGCGCAATGAGTTGGTACCCACGTCCGGGTCGTGCGCGCTCTCCAAGCGGAATCTCGTGCCCTGCGCGGCCGCCTCGGATACTTCCAAAGACACGCTGCTAGTTGAAAAATTCGGAGCGTTGTCGTTGACGTCTACGATGTCCACCACGGCGCGCTGGATCTCCAAAGGGTCCGATAAAAGTATCTGAAGGTGTAGTGAGCAGGACGAGCTCAACTCGCACATCTGCTCTCTGTCAATCTGCTGCTTAATCACCAAATCTCCAGTCGCTTGCCTCACCTCAAAATACGGAGTGTCTGATTCAGACACCACACGCAGCCCCCTTCGGACAATCCCCTGAGTGCTCAGGCCAAGATCTTTAGCGATGTTCCCCACGATGGATCCCGGACTGAGCTCCTCCGACACCGAGTAGCTGAGCTGGGCGGAAGCGGAGGAGAGACAGGCCAGAAAGCAGCAGAGCCGCGACAGCTGGCCCCCTCCTCCGGGGCGCTTCCTCTGCCTGGAGTCCATTGTCCGGGAAAACGCTGAAACTTCTCCCCTCACCGTTTGGTATCCATTATTGTGTTGGGTTAAGACGAGCCCGACCAGTTCGGTGGTGAGTATATCCGCTTGACGCGAGTGACGGGAAATTTTAACGCGATCATGACCGCCGATTTTCTGGGGGAAACGAGGCCGAAAAACTCAACATTTTCCCCCCACACTTCAACTTCGCTCTGGCTGCTCTCTCCCGCCTCGCTCCACTCGTGGGCGGGGAGAGGACACAGAGGCCTTCCCCCCTCATTGGAACTTACACGCAGACGCAGACAAAAGTCTCTCACTCACGCACACACTTTCCCACGTACACGCATATGCTGGAAACGTGTTTCATTCTCCCCCCAACTCAAAGCTTGAGGAACAACTTCAACCAAAAAAAGTGAAATGATAACGATGTGCAAATATACTGTGCTGCTTTCGTAACGAGGAAAAACAGTCTGAAAGGCTCCCAAAACGCATTCCATTCCAGTGCATCTTTTTAGTTCATTCACGTGTTCCGGGGTGGTGAAAAAAAAAAGTTGTGAAAGTATTTTCACCCATACGGGGGCGCCATATCCAAACTGGTCAACCCCACAAATTGGACAAAAAAGCTGCACAATAGTGGTCAAAAGTGTTGTTGTGATAAATAAAAGGTGGAATATTATATTCAATTATGCAGCAAAAAAAAACAAAAACAAAACAAAACAATGCAACAAGCTAAATATATATTCACATCAGATATTCCCGAAAAACAAAAAAAACTTTCCTCCGAGATTTCTCCTATTTGGGTTTTGGATGAGCCTTCTCCAATGTCAATGCTCATTTGCTTATCAGTGAAGATGGATGCCCTGCCTGATTCTAAGCCTCCCTCATCGGGGCTTAGGATCAGCAAATGGAATGGCTCGTCCATACCAGCATTTAAATAAAGCCACAAAAATCGAGAATAAAACTACAAGTAAAACAATAAATAGGGAAAATGAGCAACACTACCTCATTCAGTTGTACGCGCCTCACTACCAACCTCACGCGACTCATGCAATGCCTGTTTTTATCTGCTGCTGACTTCACATGACCACTACTACGACTACTACGATGTGATTTTATTCTTTTTATTCATTTATTGTGATTTTTATTTTTAATGCAATCTACTGTTACTTTAACTTTTACTAACACGGCATGTTGTTTGAGATCGTTTTAAGGTGGAAGAAAGACAATACGATTGGCTGGCAACCAGTTCAGGGTGTACCCCGCCAACTGCCAGAAGTCAGCTGGGATAGGTTCCAGCACGACCCCGAGCAAAAGCGGGTTAAAACATGGATGGATGGATAAAAACAACACCTGTGCAACATGCCAATCAGGAAGTTGAAATGTTGCCATTGACTAAACTTGAGACATAACAACCCCTTGAATTCTCAGTTCATGTCACTTCATTTGACAATTATCCCCTCACCTGCTGGCTCTCAAAGGTCCAGGTGCTGTCAGGCAAAGAAGCATCCAGGACGCTGATGACCTCCTTAAAGTCAGTGGTGCTACTGGGCTTGACCAACGTGGATGGGCCGCCGCACGCAGCAAGTGGCGCCGCTCGTGCTGCTCTTCATGCATTTGACGCCCAAGACGAGCAAAGTGAGCAGAGAGAGCACGGACACCGAGGCGAGAGCCACGATCAAATAAAGTGTGATCCTGCCGCCTTTCTTGCCGGGCTCGGACGCCTTGTGTCTCAGCTCCAACACGGGCTCGCTCACGCCGTCCTCCAGCAGGATGGACAGCGTGACGGTGGCCGACTGGACCGGCTCCCCGTCGTCTTTGACTTCAACGATCAGCTTCTGAGAGGAGTCGTCGTGCTCGTACACGGCGCGTTTGGTCCTCACCTCCCCCGTGTACAAATTGATCGTGAACAGAGAGGCGTCCGTGGCCTCCGCCACTTTGTACGAGATCCAGGCGTTGTGGCCCGAGTCGGCGTCCACGGCCGTCACCTTGGTGAGCAGGTGGCCCGCCTTGGCCGAGCGGGGCACCCTCAGGTGGGAGGCGGCGTGGGGGGAGGGGTATATGACAGCGGGGGCGTTGTCGTTCTGGTCCAGGATGAAAACGTGGACGGTGGCGTTGCTACTGAGAGACGGGGAGCCCTGGTCCTTCGCCTCAACCTGAACCCAAAACACTTTGACTTTCTCGTAGTCAAACGAGTGCATGCTGTAGATGCTGCCATTCTCCGAGTTCACGTAAACGTAAGATGACACGGACACGTCGTGCACTTTCGAGTCCACAACAGAGTAAGACACTTTGGCATTTTCACCAGCATCCGGGTCACTTGCTGACACCGAATACAGTATCGAGCCTGCTACTCCATTCTCTCTCAAATAAACATTGTACGAGCTCTGAGAGAACACAGGAGGGTTGTCATTCACGTCAGTGATGCTGACAGCTATCATTTTCTGACTAGAGAGAGGAGGAAAGCCTCCATCAGTGGCTGTAATCTCAATATTATACTCAGATACACTCTCTCGGTCTAAAGCAGCACTGGTGACCAGCGCGTAAACGTTAGAAAAAGAACTTTTTAGGGCAAAAGGAGAGCCCTCTTTCAGGTGTAACGTGACATTACCATTCTGACCCGAGTCAAGATCACGAGCACTTATGAGGGCGACAACACTTCCACTCGGGGCATCCTCACGCACAGGTTTTGGCTGTGAGGTGAGGACGATTTCAGGAGGATTATCATTGGAGTCCTTCACATCAACCTGCACACGACAATGACCCTCCATCTCAGGGCTACCTTTATCTTTAGCAGTTATATCAATGTCGTATGACTTTGTTGTCTCATAGTCTAATTTTTCCTTTAAAGTGATCTCACCAGTAACGGGATTCATGTCGAACATGGATAGCACAGAATCTGGAGTCGTGGAGCCAAATGAAAAGCCAATTTCGCCATTCAACCCTTCATCTGCGTCTGTTGCTTTTGGTCTGATAATAACAGTCCCTTTCACACCATTTTCACCCACGGTTACTTTGTAGAGATTTCTCTCAAAAACCGGAAAGTTATCATTGCTGTCAAGTACATTTATAGTAATTTCTGAAGTGCCTGATCGAGTCGGACTTCCTCCATCAAATGCAGTTAATAATATTTTATGAACAGCCTTCTTCTCTCTGTCTAAAGGCTTATCCAGCACTAGCTCAGGGACGGGTTTTCCACCCTCTATTTCTTTTATTCGAAGGGAACAGCAGTCATTTTTACTGAGAGTATATGATTTAATTGAGTTGCTTCCCACGTCAGGATCCACTGCACTCTTCAAAGGAAAACGCCTGCCCACCGCTGCAGATTCGGCTAATTTGAAGGATAACTCATTCGAAGTAAAACTGGGAGAGTTATCATTAACGTCTCGGATTTCAACCTCAATTCTATGCAATTGCAGCGGGTCCTCAATGACGACCTGCAGGGGGAGCACGCAGCTTGCGCTTTGTCCGCACAAAGCCTCTCTGTCTATTCTGTCGCTGACCAACAGCTCGCCCTTCCCCGCATCCACGCTGAAATACTGCTTACCAGCCTCGGAGGCGACACGCAGCTTGCGCTCAAATATCTCAGATAGCCCCAAAGATAGATCTTTGGCCAGATTCCCCACCACGGAACCCCGTTTGAGTTCCTCTGGGATGCTATAACGAGTCTGTGCATCCAATGTAGTCCACAATGCAAAATGCCACAAAAGAGCTCGCCATCGCCAGTCTCGGCATCCTATTGTCTTTTCCATCCTTCTCTCAATAAAATACATCAATTCCCGTCTAGAGAAAAGGAGAGCGTCAAGACAAAATCCATATTCCAACCACGTGACATCCTCAAACAATATCCATCCATCGTGAAAATGAAGAATAAAATGAAGTATAACGCCACTGCATGGCATATGTAGATCCTCTCCTCCCTACACTGAGCATTGTGGTTGTGTTACTGAATTGTATGGGGGAGGGAGAAGATCTCTTTGTACAGTTCAGACAGCTATTGGTGCACAGCATCCACCCGCTCGGCCAATCAGAGACACTCTCGGTATCGCTGTCACACACCAACATACACGCACAGAGCTCATCTGTCCTCACCGGAGAGCAAGAAGAGCGGCAGAGAGAATATATCAGCACATAATATTTTGATAATTCAATCAGCACAAATTATATATATATATATATATA